GACTTAATGTGTTTAAAATATCATACCTCCAATCCATATCGAAAGCTTTATTTATATCAACAAATACTGCAAGACATTCCTGTTTGATAGCAAAACTTTCATGTATTTCTGACTCTAAATCTATTAAATTATCCAGAGTTGACCTGTTTCTTCTAAATCCACTTTGTTCGTTAATTATTAAGTTATTTTCCTCTAGAAACCACAATAACCTTTTATTTACCATTTTTTCTAATATTTTGCATATTGTGTTAGTAAGGGAAATTGGTCTATATGACGTAGGGTCAGTTCGTGTTTTGTTTGCTTTGAATAAAGGTATTACTATTGCCTCCGCCCATTTCGATGGAAATTCATGACTATGCCAAATTTTGTTGTAAAGGTCAAGAAGGAACAGCTTTGCATTGTCAGGTAGATTTTAAAGAAAACTTATTGGAATGTCATCTGGTGCTGGTGCCGACTTTTTAGTGGTACTTAAGGAATAATTTAGTTCTTCTATTGTAAATGGTTTGTTGAGGGGGTTATCTTCCATGCCAATAAAATTAATTAGTTGTTGTTCTGTAGGTATCTTAATGTTTAAAAAGTCTTTGGAATAGTTGTTGTTACTAGTGTTAATTTTGAATTGCTTAGCAAATAACTCTGCTATTTCAACGTCAGATGATAATATTTTCTTGTTTCCATACAAGAACGGAATTTTTTTATAACTGTTGCATCCAGATATTTTTCTAACCTTTTCCCATACAGTACCTATAGGCATAGAATTATTAATACTAGACAGAAATTCTTGCCAAGATTTTTTTCTACTTGTTTTTGTAACATATCTAGCTTGGGCCCGTAATTTCTTATATTCGATGATGTTTTCTACAGTTTTGCAACGCTTCATTTTGTTAAAAGAATTTTTATATTGTTTAATAACTTGGCTACAATCTGTATTTCACCATGGAAGGGAAGTTCTTTTCAAAATTTTTGTTTTTCCTACATAAATGTTAGCAGCGGTATATAATAGTGATGTAAATGAACTTAATATTTCATCGATAGATTGATCTTTTGTAGTTTCTTCTAATGTTTGGTAATTGCATTGGATATAGGTTTTAAATGAAAACCAATCTGCTTTTTCCAAGTTCCATTTTGGAATCGGGGATTTATTGATCTTGTTGCCATTAATTGTCATAGAAATTTTAATTGGATAATGATCGCTACCATACAAAAATGGTATTACATCCCATGAAAGCTTTGGTGATAATGCAGGATCGCAAATTGATAAATCAATGGCTGATGAGGAACCCATGTATATATTATATCGGGTTGGTTGACCGTCGTTTAGCAGGTTTAAGTTTTTAGAAATTATCAAGTTTTCCAAGATTTTTCCTTTGGAATTTATGGCTATGGCTATTATGGATTATGGCTATTGAAATCACCTATAATTATTCTCGGAGTTGGAATTTGATCCAATAAATCTGTAAGATCTGTTTCTGTTATTGATTGGTTTGGAGGAATATATATATATATATTGCAAATACATATTTTTTGGGGAAATAGAACCGTTGCTGCTACTACTTCTAGATTACTCTTAATTTCCACAATTTTTGATTCGTAATTTTGGTTTTTATACATAGCGACTCCTTCACTAGCTATAGTTGCATCGCTCCGATTTTTATAGTAACATGTATAATTCTTCATATGGTAAGTATGCTGTCTTTTAAAATTAGTCTCTTGTATACATATAATGGATGGTAGGATTTCTAAACATAAGTGTTTAAACAATTCGTAGTGAGTATAAAACCCGTTTATATTCCACTGTAGTATACAATACATTTTTATTATTGTTATAATATTATTTTATTCTTGTGAGGACTCTATAGAGCTATCAGAGTCCTCTAGAATCAGTTTTATGGCAGTTGGATTCATGTCAAGTTGTTTCATTATCTTTTTTCGTATTCTGGTACTTCGGTTTTTTATGACTCGATCCTTATAGTACAGGTGCATTTTTGACAATGTTTTTAAGAAGTCGTGAATATCTTCGGTGTATGTTTTCACTAGACTGAGAAGGTCTTTGTGCTCATATGAGTTTTCAAAAAAGTCTACGATCTAATCAAAGCTTAATTTGAGAGTTTTTTGTTAGATTTGAGAGTTTGTGATATCGGTTTCCATTGGTTTTTGGAAAGTTTTCTCCTGGTTTTCTTTATTTGAGTCATTTTTGTTTAGATTTTCAGGTAATTTTGTCGTTTCTTTTGATAAAATAGTCGTTGCAGAAGGTGTTTCAGGAGTTGTAGTGATATTCTGAGGTAAGGTCGTATTGGGAGGATTTGGGCAGTTATTAGCGAAATGGTTAGATTACAAGAAGTGCATTCTTGACTTTCATGTGACATAAAGATACGATAACTTGTGTTATCGTGTGTCACAACTACAGAATCAGGAACAATGGTGCAGGGTGGAGATATCTACACTTGACGACAAAAACTTAAGATATGTTTGTATGCTGGATTAGAGGAACCTATTCGTAAGAAACTCAGAGATGATGTTAGTGTATAGCCAAGTTGTTTTAATTCATGTTCGAGGATTTCGTGTGGAATAGAGGGGCAGACATTTGATAATAGTAATCGTTGACTGGGTATTATTAATGGACGGGTTTGAACTTCTTCTCCATTTACTGCGATTATTCCTCGATGTTGTTTCATGAATTCATCTACGATAGTTTTGCTTGATAAGTACACACATATTCGGTTGTTGGATATTCTTGAACAGAATAAGAAATCAATGGATTAACATTATTTCCAATGGCTAAGAGATATTCTTCTAGTTTAACACCATTTAAGGAATTAAAACAATAGCTTGTTCTTTTGATGGAAAAACGGTAGGTTGTTGTTGAGTGACGGCAGTTGAATAGGTGTAAGGTTTATTAATGTTATCGTTATTGGTTGAAGTCATCATTTATAATATTGTTGATCCGGAAAATGTTTCATTTAAAAATTTTTAAAGCCGGACCTACTTTTTCTACAGGTTCGACTAATTAGGTAGTTTTGCTAATCTATTAAAGGTTAAATTTACCTTGATTACGATTATTTTATTTATCAAATTATAGAATAAAATTATATACTAGAGTTTTTTATTCTTACTTTTTCGTGATGTGATTTATTACTTTTCACTAACACTTTTATCAACTTTGATTCAATAAATTTGGTCTTTATTCACAAAATATTGAAACTTTTATTGGAGCTGAATAACACATGTGTTTATCACACTGTTGTCAGGATTGGCCTCAAACATTTTTATTTAACTGTTGTGTGAGTTTCTGTATTCACAAAAAGGTTAGCGCATCATTTTTGTTGATTCTGTAAAATAAGTTAATATGAAGTTACCTAATTATAGAATTAAGGTATTGATATCATCTTCAGGGACATTTAGTCAATGTTTAGCTATTTTTGCCTTGTTAGTTTCATGATAGTTTCCTTCAAATCTTCTAATTACCCACTTTCTGGTTGTGAAGACCTAATATGATTTTACAACTACTTTCACAAATGAAGTATTTGATTTTTTGTAGGAAAACGAAATAGATAAGTTCGTTGAATGTCCATCCAAGTACTTCACACACGAAAAGAAAACGACCCCTGACAGAGCAAGAGTTGCAACAAATTGCTGATGAGTTCACCTCTGGTAGTGAAATAGAGGCGGAAATTTCTGACGACCAACTATTTGCTTCTTCTCGTCAGTCTGACCCAGCTGATATACATTTTGACAGTGACGATAGTCGTTGTGATCCTGACTATGGAACCAGTAATCTAGACTCATCATCGGATGTACCTATCTGTAAGTGATCAAGAGATATCAAATTTACAAGATATTGAACCACAATTAACGTGGACTACCGTTACTAGAAAACAAAAGAAGAAATCACGTTCAAGAATAACGTTGTAGATAAGATTATGGCTAGGAACCGTTTTCAGCGTTACAGAGATTTTGGCATTTTTCTAATAATTTTTAGTCGATGTCCGGTGTAGGTACGTTGGCAGTACACGCGGCAAATTGGGACAATCTAGAGATGTTTGCCGGCTATCATTTAATGTTTCTGTAATGCACATTCCCATATGTAATGCATATCCCACTAAATGTGTCGGCAGCCAACCTGTTAACCATACAAGAAACCTTACTATTAAATTTTTGTCGCATTTGAGATTTTGTTAAATATTAAATTAATTGCTAGGAACCGTTTTCAGCGTTACAGAGATTTTGGCATTGTTCTAATAATTTTTAGTCGATGTCCGGTGTAGGTACGTTGGCAGTACACGCGGCAAATTGGGACAATCTAGAGATGTTTGCCGGCTATCATTTAATGTTTCTGTAATGCACATTCCCATATGTAATGCATATCCCACTAAATGTGTCGGCAGCCAACCTGTTAACCATACAAGAAACCTTACTATTAAATTTTTGTCGCATTTGAGATTTTGTTAAATATTAAATTAATTTAATAATTAAAATAAATTAACATAACTTTTGGTAAATCTGTATTTTTGCTTAAGAAAATACTTGAAATACGTTGCTTAAATGAAACTATTTAAATCGTTTTTATGTTGTTACCTACATTGCATTGTATTTAATTAATTGCAAATTTTGAACTAAAACACGATAGTCGCTATTTTTGGCATTGAGAGATTTAAAAATCAGTATATTTGTGTAAATGTTCTTGACTGTCGTTGTTTATTTATTGACAGTTGAAATTGTTTTTGAACTATTAATTGGTCTTGTGTCTTGTGTATCAGTTCTGTTTTCATTTTAACGATTTAAAATGCTTTCTTAAGTATTTTAAAATAAGTAATAATTCATTGAAGTTGGATTTTAACAGCATTTTTTGGAAACTACATAAGGTAAAAATTTTCGTTATGTTTTAACTATACTTTCTAAGACATTTCAAATACCTACATAGTTTAAAATTCACAATGAAACCCCGGAAAACTGGCGTTACGTCATATTTGGCGCTGGTTTCTCATTGGTTGGTTTGGACGCCATTTTATATGAATGATTCGTTTAGTAGTACATAGAGAAATCGTTTTTAGTTTTATAATCTTTTCTGTGTTGGAATATTGAACAAATTCTAATGATTCGTAAAATAACACTTCTGTTAAAAACCGTAAGTTTAATAATATTATGATTCATTTTAAGTTGATCATGTTTCTTTATTTATCAGCTACATATTATTGTCCATAGTCGCTGCAATATTACTGCAGTGTTTTACAGGTAGTTTAGTGTAACCACTTTTACATTATTATTTAAGTGAGTGAAAATTACAGTTGTAAACATACGAAAATATACATCATTAATGTCAAGTGAGAGTTTTGTGAATTAGCGTTAATACTTTAATAATAATCTATCCCTTATTTTGCTGTATATTTTAGTTAAAACAACACTACAATAATAGTTTCATATTTATATTTATTTTAAATTCCTGTGTATTAACATTATGGATTTGAATGAAATTATATGTCTATTATATTTAATATTATGACAAAAATAATGAAAGTAGGTCAGTGCCTAGGGGGATTTTTAATTGTTATCCCACTAAATATCTAACGTCATTAGGTATGTTTGTCAGGAAAAAGTCAGCCTATTTCTTTGATTTATAATTAAAGAATTTCACAAAATGAGCCTAAGTAAGGTACTTCTTCATATTACACATACAAGTAATTCAATGTCTTAGAATGGATATTTAAGTTGAAATTTATGTTTGTATTTCTTTATTCCTAATCCCCTAGTAAGGTAATTTACTAGAGTACATAAATATTTTATGAAACTTAAAATACTTAAATGGAAAGACCATTTTAAATATAGTAAAATATTGACAAAACAGTAGCTTATATTCCTGTACATTTGCCAGAGATATCTAAAATAAGTTGCCCTGCCCTGCATAATTTTTAACAAGGTTCTGAAACTACTTTTTTGTGACTTATATAATTTAAATATAATGTTTATTAATCCACAATTATTGGTTGCAATGAAAATTACATTTTTAACTGTTTTGACGTTTTGACTCTGGAATTTGTTCTCAAAAAAGATTATTTTACAGAATTCTGCAAAAATGTATAACCAAGTTGTTTTCATTACAACCAATAATTGTGCCAAAATCCAGATAAACATATTTTATCATTATTTTTGTGGATATAGTATGCATCGACAAGTAAACTGAAATACCTGTAGTTGGCTGTATATGACTAATCATAAAGACTTCTTTATCAGTAAAATCATAAAAAAATGTCTTTTTTAAAAGATATATATATATATATATATATATAATATATATATATATATATATATATATATATATATATAATGTTTAATATATGGGCAATTGTAGAATATGTATACCTTTTTTAAGTAATAGTTTTTAAGGATATAATATGTCCTTCTTTTTGGTTCAGGTACTTAATAGTTAAATTTCTATTTTGAACATGTTTGCTCATAATTAAACCTTTTATAGGACCAGGATGTTTTTATATCATTAGTGCTTAATTTCTATAGTAGATGTGAGATGTAGAATATTGAAGACTACACACCCTTCTCATTTATAGTTCTTCTAAGGGTTGCTGATATATCATCTTCCCCTTGTTTCTATATTGTATATATTCGCTATAAGATATTATATACACTCCGTTCACTGTATCTTTGCACATCATAGTTGTACTAATTAAATCACAGCGTTTAAATCAAATGTACGTCTTTTCTAGATTCATGAAATAATTAGGAAATGTTTAATATCCCGTTAAACATATTTATAGTGATTGTTTTTGTTTATTTATTGTACTGGATGTTAAAAACTCATTATTCGGCATCCAACAGCCGAAGTCAGTTACTGGATGAAAAAAAAGTTTTCATTCAAAATACAATATTAAACATTTACATCGTATACATATTATGACATTCAATTTTTAAGCTTAAGCATAAGAAAATGAAATAAAAGATAAAAAACTCTTGTGCATGCTTTTCGAACTAAGTTCTTAACTCAAAAAAAAATAATTAAACTTTACAAAACAAAATAATAAAAACAATGGAAAAAGAAAAATTTCAAAAATACGTAAAGGGTGTTACAAATTAGTGTTCAATCTATTAGGCTAAAATAATATGACTTTCCTTATGTTGCATACTTAGATACTTAGTATTTATTTTTATACTGCCTGGTGATTATCAATTTTTTTTACTTGTGTAACAAACTTCTCTGTAGTTTCCAAAATAAAGTGTGGAAAGTTATGTGTAAAAGGTTTCATTGTTTTGGCCTAAAGAATGGACCAATTACTTTGTTATAAACTATTTCCACAAATATGACTACATGACTAAATTATTAAAACAAATTGAAAAAAAAAAAAAAAAATAAAATATCAAAATTATATATTTCCTTCACTTTCAGAATCCAAGCTATCTCCAGGATTTATTATGATGGGTTGAATATCAATATCAACTCTTATTTTGCTCTCGGACATACCACTTTTGAATAATTTCATGAGTATGTCTTACACATTTTTCCCAAATGTCTTCATTACATTGATTAAGTGCCTCTTTCCAAATATTTATAACAGCACTATCAGAATAGCCCTCCCTACCAATATGCTTATTGTAATATGACTTGCAATTTGCCCAAATTAATTCAATAGCTTTGAATTCACAATGATAAGGACGTATTATCAACATTTCATGACCATGCTCTCTTAGTAACTCATCAATAACATACACATTTTCTTTTTTAATCATTTTTGCAACTTGTAATAATTCAGGTTTTGTAAATATTAGGTCAAATTGGATGTTATTTGTTGTCAGCCAGGTAACAATTTGATCTTTCTTTGAAGCAGTTGTAGGTTGCTTTTCTAACAGAACACTATGATATGGAGCATTCATTATCCATTACAATCAATGATGGTTCTTCTAAATTGGAATTACTTGTGTCCTTATCCACTTAGTAAAAATGTTGTTCATTTCTCCATGGTAATCAATATGTTTATACTTAGGAGAAAATAATAAACTTGCTTCAGAAATAAATCCTTTAGAAGAAACAGCGTGAACAATTATGAAACGTTTACCATCAAAACCTTCTGGTTTACGTACACTTTTGCTACTAGTGTCTTGCCAGGAAGTTGTTTTATTTCCTTTTGAATAAATCCATGTTTTATCAAAAAAAAAAACAAATTCTTCTGGATGCACACTTTCCAGGATTTCAAAGTACTTTGCTCAAAAATTTTTGCCCTTAAAACAGCAATATTGGTTCGTTCAAATAATGATCTTCGATTGTCATCATTTTTATATTTAAATCCTATATCTCTCAGTACAATGCTCATAGATGTATTCCCCATAGTAACAACTAACTTCTTTTTACTGTAATTCACATTTCAAACTTTGTAGACAAACATGCAAAAAAAACTAGTAATAATAGTATACCATATCAACTTATACTTATTTTGTAGGTACATATTGTACACAGTGTTTCGTATTGCCATTTTAGTTCCTCCAGGCAGATCAGTTGTCTTGCTTTTACGACGACATCACTTTTACCTGGACTTAAAAGGGCAGGATTGCTTTTTTTCATGTTTTAATTGTACAAACTATATGCCGTGATATTTTCAAAGTAGCAGCTACCCTCTTAAATTAAAAACAATTTCATGATAGGTAAATTATTAAAGGACATACAATTCATTAGAATACCTTTTGAACACAAGCCAATGGTGCCAATAAGAGTCCTCTATTCCTTTTTTTCAACTCAAAATATTCATACAAATTCAGCATGAGGTGCTGGGATTGAGAATTTAATGTATTTCCAGGCATATTCTAAAAATAAAAACCTTGAAAAAATATTCTCTTTGATATTTTTTTGATATTTATGACAACAAATAGTGTTTTATATCCATCCATTAGACAGAGTTTTAGCCAGATTCAAAAATGATATGTCAAATTAAAGGTAAGAAAATTTATACTTACACCAAGGAATCCAACACTAAGTGAACAGTTAGTCGTTATAACAACTCTTTTTGAGAAAATTTATAAACTCAAGGCACAAAAATGTAATGGAAAATTAGACAATATGAATATAATTTTTGTAAACACCACAAGGCTGTGAAGTTGACAATAAGCAGGTTTAATGATGAGAATTTATCACAGACTGTTGTTATATTACTGTATTTGTCTGATGTATTATTAAATGTTGGACAAGCGGCTTAATTTCAACATTTTATATTCTGTGAGTAGAAATGAGACAAAATTTAAAAATAGTTCGTGAATAATGTCATACAGGTGCAAAGATACAGCGAACAAACTATATATATAATATGTATCGGACCGGTTGTAAATAATAAACACAGTATAGGAAATACTACCGACTTTAATGATCACTCCAAAACGTAATGCAAATAACAATATATATTAAATAGGTCATCGTCGCGTCTGTCTTCCTGAGTGTTTTCTCAGCTGATTGTGACGTAACCGCACTGCAGGGTTGCCAATACATCACACTCCTCCCTCCTGGATGAATCTACTCATCATAGTCCTCCAAATACCTTGGAGGTTTTCTTATTCGAGCAGGTGGCTTTTTAACCTCAGCGGCGTGCTCTACAATTTCTGGTTCTTGGTCCACAAATTCGTTGGGATGCAGAAACAACGGTTGCGGAGTTACGAGTAATTTTTTTTCCATCGAGGTTGACGGTGTAACTTCGTCTGTTGTTTCTTGGTCAGACACACGGGTTCTGATTTGGTCAGAATGACGACGTAAAATTTTACCATCGGGGGTTTGAACTTTGTAGCTTAACGGTCCAGTGGTTTCAATTATTTTGGAAGGAAGCCACTTTTGACCACCTGGAGCAAATGACCTTGCAAATACAGTGTCGTTTTCTTGAAAACATCTGGGTACTGTTTTGCAAGAATCATTCATCTCTTGCTTAGATAACATCTCTTTTCTAAAGTCGGGCTGTAAACGATCAAATAATGAGCCCAATTTTCTCCCCATTAATATTTCTGATGGGCATCTCCCTGTTGTGCAATGGGGTGTAATGTGCTGAGTAAGGAGATATCTGTGCAATGCTAACTGTATTTTAGTTTCTTCATTACTATCTGTCATTTTTTTTAGTGCATTTTTTACATTTTGTACCATGCGTTCCGCTTGCCCATTACTACTTGGATGGTATGGTGCAACCAATGCTTGTCTAATAAGGTTTTTCTTTAAAAAATCTTGAAACTCAGCTGACGTAAAACAAGTTCCGTTATCAGATACGACGACATCTGGGATGCCGTGAGTGGCAAATAAACCACGTAATACATCTATAGTCACAACACTAGAGGTATTTGGAACGATTTTAACCTCCAGCCACTTCAAGTACGAGTCTATGATAATCAGAAACATTTTGCCTTTAAATGGACCGGCAAAATCGAGGTGTATTCTTGTCCATGGAGCTCTGGCCCACTCCCACGGATGGATTGGAGCCTTTTTTGTCATGTTTCTAGACTCCTGGCACTCGCTGCATGTATTTACTAGCTGTTCGATTTGTTTGTCGAGATTTGGCCACCAAACATATGAGCGTGCCAGTGACTTCATTTTTACGATTCCGGGGTGTGCTGAGTGTAGCAAATTCAGTATTGTTTTCCTCCCTCCTAGTGGAACTATTACCCTTGTACCCCATAACAGGCAGTCTTGATAACAGCTAATTTCGTTTTTACGTAGTAGATAAGGAGTATATTCGTCTGAAAATTTAATTTTCTCATCAGGCCAACCTTTCCAAGCCCACTGCAAAACTTTAGATAACACTGGGTCTTTCTTAGTCTCATTGGCAATGTCTTTGGCACAGATTAGTTTTTCTGGGATGTTCTCAAGCATCAAAACGTCATCTGAGCTTGGTGGTTCTGGCGCATGTACCTTTTGTGGCAATCTGCTAAGAGCATCTGCATTCTGAATTTTTGAACGTGGTACGTAACATAATTCATAATCATAAGCAGATAACATAAGAGCCCATCTAAGCATTCTGGGTGACAGTATCTCTGGAACACCCTTTTTCGGATTAAAAATACCCAACAATGGTTTATGGTCCGTTCTTATGCCTATTTTCCTGCCATATACATATTCGTGGAATTTTTTAATGCCTGATATTATGGCCAGTGCTTCCTTGTCGATTTGGGAGAAATTTCGTTCAGTAGATGATAGAGTACGACTATGGTACGCCACTGGATATTCACGTCCTTCATCATCACGTTGACTAAGCACACAACCTACCCCGTAAGGACTGGCATCACACGTCAAAAATAAATCTTTTTGTTCATTGTAATGCCCTAACACAGGTTCTTTCGCTAAAATTTCTTTTAGTAAATCGAAAGCTTTTTGTTCTATAAAACGCCACTGCCAGGGAACGTCTTTTCGGAGCAGTGCATGTAACGGATTCGCAATTGTTGCTTTGTCCTTTAGAAAAACATGATAAAAATTTAAAAGTCCAAGAAAAGCTTGCAACTCGGTTTTATTGGTTGGCGCAGGCGCATTAGTTAGGGCCGCGATTTTGTCTTTAGTGGGGCGTAAACCGTCTTCACTAATTTGAAAACCGAGAAACTCTATAGTTTTTGTTCGAAAAACGCACTTTTCTTTGCGCAAATGCAGTCCGTCTTCCTGGAAACGCGATAATACCGCGCGCACTTTTGAATCCAAGTCGGTTTCTGAGCTACCAACTATTAAAATGTCATCGTAATAAGGTAGTACACCAGGAATACCCGTTAATCGAGTGTCTATGAATTTTTGAAAAATTTGTGGAGCCACTGATATACCGAACTGTAAACGATTGCATTTAAAAGCTCCTTTATGCGTAATTATTGTTTGTGCTTCAGCAGCTTCGCGGTTGACACTTAACTGCAGATAAGCTTGCGCCATGTCCAGTTTTGCAAAAACTTTACCGCCCGCAAGTGTGGATAAGATACCCTGTACCGATGGCACTGAATAAGGTTCCGGATTTAACGCTAAATTCAATGTGGATTTGTAGTCACCACAAATCCTAACCTCACCGTTTTCTTTGCAAACAGTCACAATTGGGGTGCACCATTTTGGGTGCGTAATCGGCTCTAAAACCCCTTTCGCAATAAGCCTGTCCAGTTCAACTTCGATTTTATCTTTTAGCGCAAATGGAACTTTACGAGCTTTACACATAACCGGCTTTACATTTTTGTCCAACGAAAAACTTACTGGGGGACCCCGGTAAGACCCCAAATCTGTATTAAATACATCTGGGTATTCTTCTGTATAGTTTATCATTGATAAAATTTGACTTACCCCAGCTATGGTTAAACCTAAACTATCAAACCAGTTTCTGCCGAGTAGACTGGCACGATTTCCTTCCGTGACTATGAGAGGAAGTGTCGCTGATCTTGGACCTCTCTTCACCTCCACTTGACACTTACCCAGTGTGGGTATCACTGTGTTTTGATAGTCCCTTAAAATAACACTGGATTTATCTATTTTAGGTCGATTTTCACTAAAGATTTCATGGTAGGTTGATTTGCTTATCACTGAATAACTCGCGCCCGAGTCAACCTCCATTTTTACCTTTTGGTCATTGAGTAGCACATCTACTAAATATTTACCGGTAATGCTATCAGACGTCACGTTATTTAACGTAAATTCATAGTCACTACTTTGATAAAAAACACTCTGAGTATTCCCCGAAACCGGCTCGGTATTGGACGTAGATTCCACGGTAGTCTGATGTACTTTGCGTTTGTAATTTTGGTTCTTCTTTTTTGCAAAACAAGCTATTTCGATGTGTCCAACTTTCCTGCAATATGCACAGGTTGATTTAATGTGTTCACAAGTTTCGGGAGAATGTTCTTTTTCGCACCGAAAACATTTCCTTTCGCGATTAGCTAATTGTTTGAACTGGCCCGGTTGATTTTTACGAAAACTTACCGCGTTTACATCTGCGCTCGACTCAGTTTCTCGTAGAACTGCCAAACTTTCCACGGCCACCTCGTGTGCAAGGCATAGGTCTTGCGCGTCCTTAAGTTTTAACTTATCTGTGGCTAGCAACTTTTGCTGTAGCGATTCGTCGGTAATACCACAAACGAGTCGGTCACGTAGCATTATGTCAAGGCTAGTTCCGAAACCACAGGGTTCTGCCAATTTTCGTAATTCCTTCAGATACACAGATATTGTTTCACCAGTCTGTTGATTCCGACGATAGAACTTAAACCTGCACACAATTTCCGACGTTTTTGGAGAAAAATGCTTTTTTAATTCAACTATGATTTGGTCATAAGTTTTATCAGACACTTTGGACGGCGCGACCAAAGATCTAATAATCTCATATGTATTGGGACCACACAAACTTAAAAATGTAGCTTTTTTCCTATCAGGGTCTGTAATGTTATTTGCCAAGAAGAAAAAATCCATACGCTCGACGTATGATTCCCAACCTTTGGAGTCACCCACGTTAAACTGTTCGATGTTTCCGAATGCCGCCATCCTGCACACACTTTGCTTTATTTATCACCGGGACGAAATAATGCACTTAAACTGGCACACACACGGATCCCATCCTCGTCGCCAAATAATATGTATCGGACCGGTTGTAAATAATAAACACAGTATAGGAAATACTACCGACTTTAATGATCACTCCAAAACGTAATGCAAATAACAATATATATTAAATAGGTCATCGTCGCGTCTGTCTTCCTGAGTGTTTTCTCAGCTGATTGTGACGTAACCGCACTGCAGGGTTGCCAATACATCACAATATATATATATATATATATATATATATATATATATATATATATATATATATATATATATATATATATATATATATATATTTTCTTCATGCCTCTGAGGGGTATTTTTCATGTTACGTAGGTCTGATAATTGGTCGTAATATATTTTTTATGTCTTAAGTGATAACGATACATTTTTGGCAAAGTAACGTAAGTCACCAAAAACAATTTGTAAAAAAAACATTTTTTTAATTCAACATGCTTAAACCTATTTAAATTATGACTGAAAAAACTTGTCCTACTTGTCCTAAAAAAGGTTTAAAGTAATTCTAGGCTTACTACACTCTTTCAGTACCTTTTTAACAGTAATAGCATTAGTTTAATTGAAAAACATTATTTTCGCCAAAAATGTCACTTACGTTACTTTGCCAAAAATGTATCGATAATAAGGGTGGTCTCTCATATTTTTTTATTTTTTTGTTTTTTCATGATGTGGAATTAAAAATACATAGATCCCTTAAGTTTCACCCAAATTTTACTATCCAATTTTTAATTGCCATATTAGTGTCAACTAGTTAGTTGCCATACTGTTTCGGAACTGCTTGACCGAATTTTATGAAATTTTCTTTGTATATTCAGTAATTTTGTCTTGATCGGTCGTAATCTATTTTTCATACCCGTAAGGGCTAAGAGTTGTTCATCCTAAACATTTTTTTTATTTTGTTTAAAAAATTTTTTATTTTTATTTTTTTATGATGTGGCATTAAGAAATACAATAGCCCTTAATTTTCACTCTTCTATTAGTAATCCCAATTTTTTAAATCTATATTAGTGTCGCAGAATTAGTTGCCATATTCCTCTGAAACCGCTTCACCGATTTTGAAATTTTTTTTTATTCAGTTGGCATGAGGATCGGTCGTGATCTATTTTTCATACCCCTAAGACTATCCCAAGCATTTTTTTATCTTTTGGACAAATTTTTTTATTTTTATTTTAATTATTTTATATTTTGCAGTTATCAGTATAAGTTCTTTTTCATTAACATTTTATTAATTTGAAAATGTTTTCTTTGCAGAAAACTAATAGTTTCATTCAAAAAAAGTACAATTTTTCTGGGCTTGCTACTGAAATAATGTACCATACTCTAATTGTGGAAAAAATTGTAGGTATATGTTGAAAGTTAACAAATAACTAATGCTTACAATAATGTCGACATCAAGTCAAAATAATGGTAAAAAGAGTTCAGCCAGCTCTATTGTTAACACCCCTTCCAGCACTCCAATTACCAATCTTGCAAATGGTAGTAGTATCCAAGGAACAGCACATAGTTCACCTCCACCTAATAACAATGCTCCAAAGTATGGTACGTATGTTTTTATAGCAATTTAAAAGGATACAATTTTTTTACATTTTATTATCAGGTACCCTAGTGCCTAACAGAATATTCGTGGGAGGAATATCAGCTAACACAACAGAAGGAGAATTAATGCAACTTTTTAGCAACTATGGTACTGTTAAAGCTGCTAAAATTATTCAGGACAGGGCTGGTGTATCGAAAGGGTATGGTTTCATTACCTTTGAGAGTGAGGATGATGCTAAAAGGCCTCTTAGAGAAGCTGAAAACATAGTGCTAAGAGAAAGAAAACTTAATATAGCACCTGCTATTAAAAAACAGGTAAAAGTGTTTGATAAATAATAAATATAAAAATGATTACAACATACTAGAAATTATGGGTTTATTTTTAGCCTTTTAGTCGAGCATTTGATGCATCCAGTCCACCTGCTGTTGCTGCAAATAGTGCCAGTCAATTCTTTTTTCCTCCGGGTGCTGCCGTGCCATATTTTCAGAGTGGTGTTACATATTATACTCAGCCAGCCCCTGCTGCACCTGGAGATCATACTGCTCAACAACCTGTTTATCAACGTAAGTTTATTTTTCTTTTTGGTATTTTAAGGTCAATAGAAGTATGTTTTCTTACTATTAGTGCTATTCTAAATCATATGAAATTGTTTAGCTCCACCAATGTATCCCACACAAACTGGTCCTCCACAGGCAGCTACATACCCTTCTATGATGTTTCCCGCTCAAACTATATATATGCCACAACAGTATCCCATGGCTATTCCGGTAAGTTATTAACAACTAAAACTAAACTTAATATTTACCATTGAACAAATTTAAAATTTGCTAAATTTTATTTATATTTTAAGATTATTCACCGTCTTTAGACAAATGCGTTGCTATCTAACAATATCTTGCTTATTCTAATTTTTTAACAAGATACAAATCTAGGTGTTTGAATTATTTTTGTATATAAAATGTTTTACTCTAATTTTATGGAGTGCAAACGATGGGATATGTTTATATTGGAGTTACAATAAACAATAAGGGCGGTGATATCAGCAAATAAAAAATAATAATATTCCTTAATATACAGATGTTTATATTGGAACGGCGAATTAAGAAAAGCTTGGTAGTTAAGAAAGGATAAGATCGGCGATAATTGGTGTATCTATTTTGTTTGCTTTTATTTTTTATTAAAAGTGTTTAGTTCATCATGGAATCTACAGCTTAATAATCTGAAATATTTGATAGATTATGGAATCAGAAAATAAAACCCAAAAACCATCATAACACATCAATACTTGACAATTATGAGACGAAATATCTGTAATTATGTAAAATTAAATACAACTCATACAAGGTTCTGAAACTACTTTCGTGTGGCATGTGTAATTTATATAATATATATATATATATATATATATATATATATATATATATATATATATATATATATATACTCACCTTAATGATTAATCATACTAACTAGCCTTAATGATTAATTAAAGAAATAATATTCCTCTAATGTTTTCTTACATTGTTAGTTTTTGCATTTTAAATAACTTTTAGTTGTTTCCATCTCATTTATTTACTGTTAACGAACGTGCTCATATACATTTACATTTTAAAAAGCTTATACATTATCAAAAAATGTTTATTTTAATATCAAATTTATTTATGTGTGAAATCTTTTAAGTTCTGTAAGTATTGTAAATCTAAGTGTACGTCAGTTTTTTGAAATGTTTGTTTTTTACAGTTACTCCCGATGAAGCTTTTAAATAAAGAGCCAAATATTGAGTTTTAGAAAAAACAAAGATTTTTATTTAATATAGACCACATACCCGATATTCCAACATACTGATAAATTGTTTTTTGGTCGAAATAATCACGTTAAATATATATATATATATATATATATATATATATATATATATATATATATATATATAAATTATTAGGTTTCCGCGGTCAGCTAAATGAAAATCGCTAAGTTCTCGGGAAAACCGCGTTGAGGGTTTAACATATTGGAGCCATTTTCAAGAGTGATGATACGGATCCGTTCGAGTTCGGGTCTTAATCTGCCTACTCCTCTCACTCGAGACGTACCAGTATCGTGTTCTGTATAAATACAAGAACTGTCAAATGGCACATTTGTGTTATATAATTTATCTGTAGGATACTTCCTTAAACCGTAGGATTTAATCTGTACCTTCATACGAAAATTAAAGCTTCGTCTTTCTTTGTCTTAATAATGGAAATGTTTGCTCTGCATCACTTTTTTCTGCTTCTGCTACAGCCTCATTCATGAAAATCTCGAAATGTTTGTCTGACGTCTTTTCAGTGATATAAATAATAAGATTTTTTATTTCTGTATGGCATTCATTTAAAGTTGTATTTGGATTCTGGACCATTTTACTTAGAATATTAATTTTTGTTAATTCATCATGCCAAATTATAATAGAAAAAATGAATTTGAACGTTTTAGTTTTGTCTAATAGTGACCTTGCTGAATGTTTCGTGTTCATATCTCTTGAATTATCTTCCACCAAATCGTGTAAACTTTAACAAATTTCGAGGAATTGAAACCTAAGAGGGCGAATGGCTTTGACTCTGCTTTCCCATCGTGTTTCACTTACTGATTTTAAAGTTAAGTTTGGTACATTCCTTTTTAAAATGTGCCATCTGTAGGGTGAAGTAGAAAAAAAAATTGAACAACCTGAATAATTAAAAAAAACCTACAGTCTCATATGAAATTTTAGCTGCATCATTGACACTTAAATTAAAAGTGTGAGCTGAACAAGGCAAAAACATTGCTCTGGGATTAATTTTTAGAATTTGAACCTGAAGGCCCACATGCTTGCCAAACATATTTGCCTCATTGTCGTAACCCTGACCTAGACCAGAACAATAAACGAAGCGAATTATGACCGTCAGCTGCTCAACATGGCTAGTATCTGGAGATTCATCCAAAATAATTGAGTAATATCTTGCTGTTCTGAGGCAACTCAAAATTTCTTTCTAAATATTTCTTTGATAATAAATGAATTAATTCATTTTGGAAGTAATTGCTCAGGTAATGAGGCATATTTTGGCACAACCCTTTAGACCTTCGAATATTGCTCAGGTGTTCCATCATAATTGGATCGAATTTAGCAATCATTTCAACTAATTTCAAAAAATTGCCATTATTAGTATCATAAAGATTCGTACTGTCACCCCTAAAAGCTAAATTTTGGCCAGCTAAATACTGCACAATACAAATCATTCTTTTAATGATTTCACGCCATCGCTGTTTTTCAATCTCATAGTTTTGTTGCTTTTTATCAATAGTACATTCTTTACACAAATGCAATTTTAACTCGTGCCATTTTTGAGCGCTTTTCATACGTTCCATGCTATTTTCATGACGAGAAATATTAACAGAAAGGTGCCTCCAGTTAAAGTTACTTATTTATTTTTATTTTATTTAAATAAATAAGTTCACTTATTTTACTTACTTCTAGCAGTTTATTTGCCGCCTTAAACTTACAATTCACAATAAACTTTAATGACAATGATATTGCGAACAGAACATCCTAACCCATAAGAAAAATCTAACGACTGAATTAAAACGTTACGGTTTACTGCGCAAAAGACAATTTCGTCAGAGACCGGCGCATCGCGCATCCTTTCTTAAGACAACCACGCTGGCGGTATGCCGGCAACACAAAACATTAAAAGTGAGCATCGTGCGGCATAAGACGGCGCGTCGTATGCTGACACTAATAAAATTGTAGGGTGGTAATTTAATTAGTAATTTTGGTATTATAATAGGAAATAGTAAACGGATGAAGTGATTGCTTGAGCACTTACCGGGGAAATACTGAACACTGACTTTTTTGTTTTAGAAGTGAGAATATTTTTTTAATGGTAACCAAATATTTGGCGCCCCTAAAATTTAGCGCCTGCGTGCGGGGCATTCATTGCATACCCGCCAGGAACGGCCCTGAGCCTATGTATAAGCTTTGTAAAGGTTGACGTCATATTTCTGTAAAAATGGTATATCCGTTAATTAAATAAATAAATAAATAAATAATCTTTGACCAGCTTTTACGGCATTATTCTCAAAATTGGAAGTAACATCAACTTAATTAAAATAGATTGTCAATTTTCATGTGAAACTATTTGTAGCTTATCCCTGATGATGTCGATAACTATCGACGAAATATTGGATTAATAAAGGACTAAAGAGTACACTTAGCCTACCCTTTCAGCTGTTTTTACCCAAAGAGTCTTAAAGTTTAGTTTATTTTATATAGTCATAAGTAGTTGGGTATTATTGACTGACACGTTATGTAAAATAAAGTTTTATTATGAGGTTGCAGTCATTAATAGTTGAAATGTGTTGAAAACTAGATGGTTCAGGAAACCCACATGTAGTAATAGCTATTACTCACATCATCCAAATAAAATGAAAATGGACCTTATAACAGGATTAAAAGAACGTGTTTTAAGGCTTTCCTATCCAGATTATCTACAAGAAGATCTTCAGTTGTTTAAAAATTTTTTAATTGAGAACTCTTATCCTCCAGATATGCATATACATGTTTTTTTCTAATATTTTTAATATAAATAACTTAACACCATTTTTTGCTAAATCTCAGAAAATTGTATCCAATAATCAGAACACCTATTATCATTATACCTTTTATACCATCATTAACACCGAAATTTACACAAACACTAAAGGTTATTGAGAATATAAAAATAGCAACAAAGAACCATCAAAACTATTTCATCTTTATATTCCAAAACTAAGTATCCTACAGATAAATTATATAACACAAATGTGCCATTTGACAGTTCTTGTATTTATACAGAACACGATACTGGTACGTCTCGAGTGAGAGGAGTAGGCAGATTAAGACCCGAACTCGAACGGATCCGTATCATCACTCTTGAAAATGGCTCCAATATGTTAAACCCTCAACGCGGTTTTCCCGAGAACTTAGCGATTTTCATTTAGCTGACCGCGGAAACCTAATAATTTATATATATATATATATATATATATATATATATATATATATATATATATATATATATATATATAAATTATTAGGTTTCCGCGGTCAGCTAAATGAAAATCGCTAAGTTCTCGGGAAAACCGCGTTGAGGGTTTAACATATTGGAGCCATTTTCAAGAGTGATGATACGGATCCGTTCGAGTTCGGGTCTTAATCTGCCTACTCCTCTCACTCGAGACGTACCAGTATCGTGTTCTGTATAAATACAAGAACTGTCAAATGGCACATTTGTGTTATATAATTTATCTGTAGGATACTTAGTTTTGGAATATAAAGATGAAATAGTTTTGATGGTTCTTTGTTGCTATTTTTATATTCTCAATAACCTTTAGTGTTTGTGTAAATTTCGGTGTTAATGATGGTATAAAAGGTATAATGATAATAGGTGTTCTGATTATTGGATACAATTTTCTGAGATTTAGCAAAAAATGGTGTTAAGTTATTTATATTAAAAATATTAGAAAAAAACATGTATATGCATATCTGGAGGATAAGAGTTCTCAATTAAAAAATTTTTAAACAACTGAAGATCTTCTTGTAGATAATCTGGATAGGAAAGCCTTAAAACACGTTCTTTTAATCCTGTTATAAGGTCCATTTTCATTTTATTTGGATGATGTGAGTAATAGCTATTACTACATGTGGGTTTCCTGAACCATCTAGTTTTCAACACATTTCAACTATTAATGACTGCAACCTCATAATAAAACTTTATTTTACATAACGTGTCAGTCAATAATACCCAACTACTTATGACTATATAAAATAAACTAAACTTTAAGACTCTTTGGGTAAAAACAGCTGAAAGGGTAGGCTAAGTGTACTCTTTAGTCCTTTATTAATCCAATATTTCGTCGATAGTTATCGACATCATCAGGGATAAGCTACAAATAGTTTCACATGAAAATTGACAATCTATTTTAATTAAGTTGATGTTACTTCCAATTTTGAGAATAATGCCGTAAAAGCTGGTCAAAGATTATTTATTTATTTATTTATTTAATTAACGGATATACCATTTTTACAGAAATATGACGTCAACCTTTACAAAGCTTATACATAGGCTCAGGGCCGTTCCTGGCGGGTATGCAATGAATGCCCCGCACGCAGGCGCTAAATTTTAGGGGCGCCAAATATTTGGTTACCATTAAAAAAATATTCTCACTTCTAAAACAAAAAAGTCAGTGTTCAGTATTTCCCCGGTAAGTGCTCAAGCAATCACTTCATCCGTTTACTATTTCCTATTATAATACCAAAATTACTAATTAAATTACCACCCTACAATTTTATTAGTGTCAGCATACGACGCGCCGTCTTATGCCGCACGATGCTCACTTTTAATGTTTTGTGTTGCCGGCATACCGCCAGCGTGGTTGTCTTAAGAAAGGATGCGCGATGCGCCGGCCTCTGACGAAATTGTCTTTTGCGCAGTAAACCGTAACGTTTTAATTCAGTCGTTAGATTTTTCTTATGGGTTAGGATGTTCTGTTCGCAATATCATTGTCATTAAAGTTTATTGTGAATTGTAAGTTTAAGGCGGCAAATAAACTGCTAGAAGTAAGTAAAATAAGTTAACTTATTTATTTAAATAAAATAAAAATAAATAAGTAACTTTAACTGGAGGCACCTTTCTGTTAATATTTCTCGTCATGAAAATAGCATGGAACGTATGAAAAGCGCTCAAAAATGGCACGAGTTAAAATTGCATTTGTGTAAAGAATGTACTATTGATAAAAAGCAACAAAACTATGAGATTGAAAAACAGCGATGGCGTGAAATCATTAAAAGAATGATTTGTATTGTGCAGTATTTAGCTGGCCAAAATTTAGCTTTTAGGGGTGACAGTACGAATCTTTATGATACTAATAATGGCAATTTTTTGAAATTAGTTGAAATGATTGCTAAATTCGATCCAATTATGATGGAACACCTGAGCAATATTCGAAGGTCTAAAGGGTTGTGCCAAAATATGCCTCATTACCTGAGCAATTACTTCCAAAATGAATTAATTCATTTATTATCAAAGAAATATTTAGAAAGAAATTTTGAGTTGCCTCAGAACAGCAAGATATTACTCAATTATTTTGGATGAATCTCCAGATACTAGCCATGTTGAGCAGCTGACGGTCATAATTCGCTTCGTTTATTGTTCTGGTCTAGGTCAGGGTTACGACAATGAGGCAAATATGTTTGGCAAGCATGTGGGCCTTCAGGTTCAAATTCTAAAAATTAATCCCAGAGCAATGTTTTTGCCTTGTTCAGCTCACACTTTTAATTTAAGTGTCAATGATGCAGCTAAAATTTCATATGAGACTGTAGGTTTTTTTTAATTATTCAGGTTGTTCAATTTTTTTTCTACTTCACCCTACAGATGGCACATTTTAAAAAGGAATGTACCAAACTTAACTTTAAAATCAGTAAGTGAAACACGATGGGAAAGCAGAGTCAAAGCCATTCGCCCTCTTAGGTTTCAATTCCTCGAAATTTGTTAAAGTTTACACGATTTGGTGGAAGATAATTCAAGAGATATGAACACGAAACATTCAGCAAGGTCACTATTAGACAAAACTAAAACGTTCAAATTCATTTTTTCTATTATAATTTGGCATGATGAATTAACAAAAATTAATATTCTAAGTAAAATGGTCCAGAATCCAAATACAACTTTAAATGAATGCCATACAGAAATAAAAAATCTTATTATTTATATCACTGAAAAGACGTCAGACAAACATTTCGAGATTTTCATGAATGAGGCTGTAGCAGAAGCAGAAAAAAGTGATGCAGAGCAAACATTTCCATTATTAAGACAAAGAAAGACGAAGCTTTAATTTTCGTATGAAGGTACAGATTAAACAGTATTCGATCCAAAACAAACATTTAAGATCAGTTTTTATTTTCAAATTTTAGACACAACAATTCAATCCCTACAAAGACGCTTTGGGGGAATAGATAAGTGCCACGATTTATTTGGATTTTTGGGTAATTTTCAAAATCTAGATTCTGATGTGATTAAAAGATCATGTATGGATTTGGATTTAGCTTTACAAATTCAACATGAAGGAAACGTATGCAAAGATATTGATGGTCTTGATTTTGCATAATGAAATTCTGTCATACAAAGTTCTTAACCCAATCACAGACTCTGGCAAAATTTCGGATTCGCCCATAGATATTTTAAATTATATAACAAAGAAAAATTTACAATCCTTGTTTCCAAATCTATTTATAGCCTTGAGAATATTCCTGACCCTTCCAATTTCGGTGGCATCTGGCGAAAGGAGTTTTTCAAAGCTAAAGCCATAGATAAATAATATAATAGTAGAAATAGATAGGCAAGTCAATGTATAAATTTCGTTCATTAGGCCCCTTGCGGCTGGGGTCAATACTAATCATCTATTGGCGGTAAATTCGAATGAACACCCCTTACATACATACCCTTTAGCGCCTCTTGTGGGCTATTTCGTTACTAATTAAAATTTATTGGAAAATAAGGATATAAGATGCACAATTTTTTCTAGATATACGTATATTTATTTGTTGTTTAAGATAAAACAGTTATAAAATAATTACATAATATTTATTACACATATTTGCAGAAGTTAAATACTATTATTTTTTGCTTTCTGACAACTTACTATCATTCTTTTTGTAATTTTTCCATGATTTGTACACAACGAACAATACAATAATTCACCATGTTTAGTTTTGTTACTAGCACAACACAAAAATTCTTTGCTACAATAGGTAACTCAAAATAAACTTTAAAAATTAAGTAACTAAATTTAAATTAAAATTACTAAGAATAAATGCAAACGAAAGTTAAAGATAATATAATAAAATTGAAAACTTGGAAACAAACGGAAGATCTGTTATTAATTTGGATTGACAGAATTGACATTGCTTCGTTTGATTATTTTATTTGGTTTATGATTGGTTAAAGTCTTCGTGAGAGAGATAGGCTGTCATTTCTCTTTATTAACTCGCTGGGGTCAAAGTGATGGGGGAATGAACATTGGAATGAACCAAGTCATTCATATAAGATTCCAGGCCATGGCTAAAGCTCATAAAAAATTATTTAAGAATGTCAATGTGCCAAGAAAGGCTATCAGATTTGGCAGTCATTTCTATTGAAAATAAAATTTGTGAAGCCATTGATCACAATGAAATAATTAATGAGCTTGCATCTGTGAAAGCAAGACGTGGCATATTATGTATTATTTAATAAAGTTTTTTTTGCATTGAGAGTATCTCCTTTCCGTTATTCTTTCATGTTATATTCCAGAATGCCTTACTAATTTGCGAATTGAGTGTTTTCTTTCTTACTGTTAACTTACATAATAATATTGTTTTAAAATGACCTTTTTTCTTTATTTAATTTTGAAAATAAAACCATTTTTCAAACATGGTTCGTTTTATTTTTCTTTTTACATTCATATCATATTTTCAATCATATCACAAGAACATGTTATGATACAGGTATCTTAAAAACATAATATGGGGGCGAAAAAAAAATCCTGCACGCAGGCGCTCACTACCCTAGGAACGGGCCTGCATAGGCTGCGTTAATAAAAAACAAACCAAAATTAAAATCAAACAAAAATTCAATTAAAGTAGTAGCTTAAGTTATTAAATAATGCTCAAATTCTCTCAAATGATTTCTTAAATGTTGCTGTAGATATTCCAAATAACTCTAAACTATTGCTGTGCTCATTGGCATTTCGTAAAATTCTTGTAATGGGTTCATTTTGGCCATAATTCGTACTGTGGAATGGAATGTTGAAAATCTCAGTGTTACGAGTTCTTCTAGTCTTAACATTAAAACTTATTAAACTTAGTAACTCTGGATCTTGAACATATCCATTTATAATTTTAAAAAGGAAACATAAATCCGCTTGACATCTTCTATCATGTAGTGATGAGATATTTAGTATTGACAGTATATCATCATATGTGTATTGCTGTCTAATAAAACCAATTTTGTAAGCACATACCCTCAAGAATTTATTTTGAACTCTCTCGATACTGTTGATGTCACTGTTATATGAAGGAGGCCAAATGACAGAACCACACTCCAAAACTGATCGAACTAAACTAAAGTATAACATTTTTAAAGTTTGTACTGAAAACTGATTACAGTTTCTAAGAATAAATCCTAACATTTTTAAAGCTTTAGCTGAAGTTTCGTTAATGTGATATTTAAAAGTTAGTTTAGAATCAAAATTTATACCTAAATCTTTAATATTATGACGTGCCTCTAAAGGTACATTATTTATACAATAATCATAATTTACAAACTCTCTTGATCTTCCAAAAGTAATTTTAAAACATTTTTGTATATTTAAGTATAGCATGTTTACCTCACACCAACTAGCTAAGCTTTTAATGTCATTCTGTAATAAAGAGGCATCAACTAGGTCATTAACTATTCGAAATATTTTAAGGTCATCAGCAAACATTAGAAATTTACTATTTTTAATCACTGAGGATATATCATTAACAAATATATTAAATAAGAGGGGCCCAATATGCGACCCCTGAGGAACTCCTGAGGTTACAGATACTCGTTGAGATAAAAAATTTCCATATCTAACATACTGACATCTACCCGATATATAACTACCTATCCACTCAATTATTTTACCTCCAAATCCATAGCCATTTAATTTAGCAATAAGCAGATCATGGATAACTGTATCAAAGGCTTTTGAGAAGTCTGTGTAGATAGCGTCAACCTGACCCTTCTGTTCCACTGAATTAGCTATAAAATTCGTATACAATATTAAGTTCGTGCATGTAGACTTACCCTTAGAAAAGCCATGTTATCTAACATCAATTAAATCTTTACAATTCCATGTCAAAAAGTTATTTACAAGACACTCAAAAAGTTTGGATAATACAGATTGGCTACAAACCGCTCGATAATTCTCAACATCATTTTTATTACCAGACTTGAAAATTGGTGTTAAATAACTAGTCTTCCAAAGATCAGGAAAGATGCCGGTACTCAATGAGGAATTAAATAAGTAGCAGATAGGTTTTACAAGAGTGAAAATGCAATGCTTGAGAACATAAGCTGGCAAACAATCTGGTCCAAGCGATAATTTCCAAGGCATCTTTAAAACACTATCAATTATGTCAGAGACCTCAATACGATAATTATTCACATTTACACTCTGCTGATAGTTAAAAATTGGGATCTGATTAATTTTAGAATTAGAATATGTAGTTGAGAAAAACTTACCAAATAGACTGACTATGTCTTGAGCATTATCACTTATACTATCACCGTAGAACATATTAGATGGCAGATTATAACTTTTACGGTTATTATTGATATATTTCCAAAAATGTCGAGGATTAGATAGAATCCCATTCTCAATATTATTCAAATAGTTACTATAACATTGAGAGGAGACTTGTTTAATTTCATTTCTTAACTGAGAAAATCTTAAATAATCATCCCTTCTACCAAACAATTTATACTGCTTATGTAATTTCTTTTTTAAATATATCAACTTCCTTAATTTACCATGAAACCAAATCGGAAACGAACTTGTTTTAAAATTTTTGATCGGAACAAAGAAGTCAAAACCTGTAAACATAAAATCATAAAATACTGCTAAGCTATAATTCACATCATCTGATAAAAGTAAGTCCCAATTTAAACTTGCAAAGTAATCATTTAGTCCGATGTAATTTGCATTTTTAAAATCATAATAAAATTCCTCGTAGTTCAGTTGATCATGCTTTTCAAAACCAGGTAATTCTACTGTTAATTCTAAGTTGTAAAAATTTTTTTGTGAAAAAATTGTGTAAGTTTTTTTCACAAAAAGAAAAAACATGTAATGTAAATTTACAAAGACTGGTACAAAGATAATGCACAATTTTAACTTTTATGTATAGGACCGAAAGTCCTCTCTCGAAAGTTTTACATCTTTTTATTTTATTCTTAACCTGTACTACATGTCATGTAAAGTGGAACAATGTGGTTAATTTGCAGGTTTGCAGATTTAATTTTTCAAAACTGCAAATTAACCATGTTGTTTCCACTTTACATGACATGTAGTACAGGTTAAGAATAAAATAAAAAGATGTAAACCTCTCGAGAGAGGACTTTCTGTCCTATACATAAAAGTTAAAATTGTGCATAGTCGTTGTACCAGTCTTTGTAAATTTACATTACATGTTTTTTCTTTTTGTGAAAAAAAGTTTTTCACAGAAAAATTTTTACAACTTTGACCAGCTTTTACGGCAATATTCTCAAAATCGTAAGTAACATCAACTTAATTAAAATAGATTGTCAATTTTCATGTGAAACTATTTGTAGCTTATCCCTTACACAATAATGTGACAATAGAATAGATTTTAGAAAGATATGTTTTTGTTAGTTCATAAGAATTGGTAGAAAAAAATTAGTTTGTAAATAAGTTTTAGGAAATTTTATAATTGTAGGTAAAAATTTGTTTGTGTTATCGAAATGAAGAAATGGGAGATGTATGACGCGTTTTGATTGGATGAGATTGAAAAAAGGTGGGATGATTGTTTTGAGAATGAGACTTTAGTGAGTTTTTGAAAAAAAATATATAGTCAGTTGGTTTCCAAGGGTGCAAGGCGAACGTCCGTTGTTCTCGGGTAGTTTCCCAGAGGTAGGAAGCAGTAGCAGTGAAAGTTTGTGAGTTTTCGTGTAGTTAGTGTATCTGACAGAAGCTGATCCAATAAAAGATAGTAAGTCATATTTTTCTACTTATATTCCAAGAGTCACTGTTCAGGCCAACGGGAGATTCAGTTTATCGAGAGGAGAAGAGGCTATCATAATTTGAATGATTCGTGCATTTGAAAGAGATTATTAAGGACGATATACTTGCAACAATTTGTTGTAAGATTGCTGATTATCTATGGAGCTGCTAAGAATAGATAGTATAGGCTACAAGGAACAAGGATTTGGACCACTCATCATCAGAGAGAGATCGTTGTGTTTTTCTGCAGTTTTTCTTTTATTGATAACACAATTTTTACAATTACTTTAGAAAAGATATAAATTTTTGATTAGGAGATTTAGAATGATAATTGGGATTTTGAGATTGTAACTAATATTGTTTGTTCCATTAATTTTGAAGGTTCACGTACGTAGAACAAAATTCTAAGAATCATATGAGATATTGTTTATTAAAAACATTTGAGTGTGAATTTTATTTCATTATTTTTATTTCAATATATAGTGTTATATCATATGTGTTTTTTATTATTCCGCTATTCTTTGGACCTTACCTTTCACATGTGAAGCATAGATATTGAAGCACAAATATAACCCTGAGATAAGAGAATTAAAAAGTGTGATAGAGTCATAATAATATCATTTAAATAATTAATTAATTAATTAATTAATTAGCTAATTAATTGCTTGGCGCACTAAGACTTTACATATCACAATAATATATATATATATATATATATATATATATATATATATATATATATATATATATATATGTAATTCTGTAATTTTATGAAGAAGAATTACAAAGAATGATGGAAGAACTAGATAGAGAATCGACAAAAATTGGACTCAAGATGAATTATAGTAAAACAAAAACCATGACTAATCAACCAGAAGAACTTATGATTACAGTGGCACAAACAAAAATAGAACAAGTAAAAGAGTATATATATCTAGGCCAAATCACTAAATTAAATAAAGAAAATCAGACCGAAGAAATAAAGAGAAGAATAAGATTGGCCTGGGCATAATTCGGAAAACTGTCTTATATTCTAAAGAATTCAAAATACCCCCAATACTTAAAAACGAGAGTCTTCAATCAATGTATACTCCCTGTCCTCACATATGGCTCTCAGACATGGACGTTTACAAAGGAAAATATGGAAAAAATAGCAAAGACAGAAAGATCCATGGAAAGACAAATGCTGAACATTAAACTATCAGACAAAAAAAGAAACGAATGGATCCGTAATAAAACAAAAGTGAAAGATGTCTCAACCCAAGTAGCAAAGCTTAAATGGAAGTTCGCCGGACACACCCTAAGGCAGAAAGATGAAAGATGGACTAAAACAATTATACATTGGAGACCATGGAATCACAAACGTAAAAGGGGAAGGCCACAAATGCGATGGTCAGATGACCTGAAGAAACACGCCGGGTCAAAATGGATGCAAATTGCCCAAGATAGAGAGGCATGGAAGAAGGAGGAGGAGGCCTATATCCAAGGATGGATTTTAAGGGCTGTATAGATATATATATATATATATATATATATATATATATATATATATATATATATATATATATAAATATATACCGTTAGGTACTTCCAATCATTTTCCGGTTTTAATTAACACTTTTTAATACTACTCAATTATCCTTTCAGTGTAAAAATTACGTTAATTTAAATAATAAAGATAGTAGAGAACAATTAGATTAAAGTAATAACAAAAGATATAAAAGTTTTATAGAGTCCCTAAATCATGCTACAACACTAGCAATTCCACTTAACACAAAAGATCAAATCAGAATTTAGCAAACTTGGGTGGAGTCAGAGATATACAAATGTCATTAAATGTCAAGAAGCTTTTTTTCTTTACAAAAAATAGTTCAATTTAACTATTTAAAATATACCTATCACTGTAACAAGTGTACTCTCTAAGATTATCGAAAAGTGTATTTACAATAAAACGTTTAAATTTTCTGAATACATATGATACCTTAAATAAATGCCCCAGCATGTGTTTCTTCCTAATAAATCTACAGACAGTGCTTCTATTTCACTCTTTGTTGACTTAACCAAGCCTTTTGACTCTATTGACATTGAAATTATACTGCATCAATTAGAAGCCCTTGGTTTTCGGGATAATTTCTTGAACTGGTTAAGGTCATACTTAGAACATCGTAAATTCCTAGTAAAAGTCGATAATAAGAAGTCATCTGTTTTTAATCTTGATCAAAGTGTACTTGGGACTCTTAATATTTCTTTTATATATCAATGATTTGATTAATTTTTTAACTGCAGATCATGCAGTTCTCTATGCAGATGATTCAACAATTGTAGTTGACGAGTCAACTGAAGTCGAACTCATATCAAAAATGAACTTGGTAACACAGGAATTTACAACCTGGTAAAAAACTCTTTAATGGTAAATGCAAAGAAAACTATTTGCATGCACTTTTACTCACGCTGTAAGCCATCCCATGATTATAAGATCACAGTTAGTTCTGAGGAAATACCTTTTAGTGATACAACATTATTTCTTGGTAGCATTCTAGAAAGTAATATGACATGGGATGAAAATGTTACTAAAGTCTGCAAAACATTGAATACGGGTTACTATGCGATCCTTCAGTTGAAAACTCTATTTAATACCAATCAATTGATAAGTGTGTACTATGCATTATACATATGACCTATAATGTTGTCTTGTGGGGAAACTTTATGAACTCTTCTAGAGTTTTTATAACCCAAGAGAGAATTCTTAGATTGATATTCAATATTGATAATAGACAATCTAGTCGTAAATATTTTATTGAACACAGACTGTTGACTTTCCATGCTTTATATATTTATAATTGTATTATTCACGTCAAAACTAAATTTCAAAATTTTACCCTTAACTCTGACTTTCATAATTACCCGACAAGACACGGGAGGTTGATAAGCGTGTGTAAACACTCCACGACTCTTTTTGAAACTAGTCCTCATTTTGCAGGATCTAAATTTTACAATTGTTTGCTACTTAATATGAGAAATAAAAATAATATTCAAAAATCAAAAATTCATTAAAATCATGCTTGGTCCAATTATGCGTTTACAACCTAAATGAGGACCGACGGGGTTCAGAGACGCTCTATATTGCATATCTTTTTTATTATATTAATCTATATTTTGTTGATTATGTTTTATGTAATTGTCCTATATAACTTGTTGATTATGTTTTATGTAATTATATGACGTGTCCTATATCAGAATGTGATCTCATTGGATTAATAAAGAATATTCTATTCTATAAAAATTCAGTAGCAGTTATAAAATTCTTAAAATATAAAAACTCATGTTACAAAGCAAAAAATATTGGTAAAATTTTTGTAATTATCTTACATATAAAAATTACATTTAATTCTCAGAAAAAATAGCATCCAGTTCTTCGATAAATAAAATTGCTCTTAAGTTGGGTGGAAAAAAATATTCGGCCGATTTATTCACTAAGCGCGGATGATTTAGATATAGAATTCTCAAGTATAAACATCAAACAAAGCCTCAAAACTAACAATAATACAGCACCCGGAGTTAATGACATTATAAGATGCTCGCTAGTTTGTTAGTATCAAGTATAGACCTTTTTAGAGGTCAAATTTAGATCTCAAATCGAGATGCGAAAGGACCAGATTCATATTGAGTAATTTCTCTAGCTTCTTGTGTCTTAAAAACTTGAGAAAATCAGAAAAAATGATCAAAGTCAGACTAGTTCATTACCTCGAAAATAATAAAAAATTATCTAAATTGCAGTTTGGCTTCAGAAGAGGGTCTTCTTCTTCCTCTTTATAAGTAATTCTGCTTGTTCATTGTCGGATTAATACCTCTACGGTTGTCACTCCATCTTTTGCACGGTCGTCCGATACTTCTGCCGATTGGTGAGTTATCTCTTGCTATTTTGACGACACGGGTTTCCTCCATTCGGCTTATGTGGTTATTCCATTATTTTTTTTTCTATTTTGTGTCCATTCATTTATACATTGTACGTTACATGTCTTCACTTCTCTTTCGATCTCTCGGCTTAATTCCTGTAATTCTTCTCAGTACTCACATTCATTATCATTATTATCATGTCATTATTAGTCTTATTGATTGGTCCACCTGCAGTTTTGTTGGGTGGATCGAGTAGCTCGACAGAACTG